CGTCTATAGTGATCAGTTGGTAATTGTTGTTTTACCTTAGTCTTTTTTGTTTTCATCAATACCTTCTACATACCCTATAGCAATCATTGTGTTTATTAAATGTCTAACCAGGCATCTCAGCTTTGATGACGATAAAACTAATTCTAGAATTGAATTTTAAAAACCACATTATCGCAAGGTTATAGAAAAAAAAAGACAAACAAAACAATATGTAAAAAACAACAACATATTATTGAAAAGTTGCAAAAACAGACAAATACGAACGCACTTCTAATATTGATCCGAAAAAAATTGTCAAAAATTTGTTAGAAAATAATGAATGCTTTCAGAGTAAGCTTTAAAGGAATGTTTATTTCGATTCATTTGTTAGGTGCGCAGCCATAGGCAGTCAGACAAAACTTCGGAAAAAGTCAACAGTAAAATACTTCGAAAATAGCGAATAACGCAAAGCAAATTAAGTGCCATCGTCGTTCAATGCGTGGCAGTATTTCCCCCAGTCAACCTGCTGTTAACGCATATTTTTAACAAATAATGTTGTGTATACATTGATTACATTTAGGAGGGTACTTTTAGATGAACATTTTTCAGGGAATTGGAGGCAATTGACCTACAGTATTTATTTTTCAAAAAATATTATTAAACCGCACGATGATTTTACATAATCTTCCTTATGCCTTTTGTACACATTGCCTCGTTGGGGGCTTCATATTCATGGTGCGATAATCGCCGTTTTTAAGGTATTTGTCTCGTAATGTTATCCATTTTTCCATTGTCATTATTTCCTTCCCATGATCGCTTCCCGCCACCTCTTTATATATATAATTCATTCTTCCTCCCATCTGTTATTATTTTCGTTTCTTAACTGTCTGTAAATTATTTATTCACCGGGCATATCCACAACAAGCCTTGCTTTACCGTAGGCCTCTCCACTATTATACGCTATTAAAAAAAAGAAGGATGAAGTGTACAAGTTTTGCTTTTTAGTGGACCCCTCTGTTTCCAATATGTATTCGTTAATTTGTGTAAATGTTTATAATTGATTTGTATTGTTTTGTTGAAACCAGAAACATATTGAATTCAATTGGATTAAATTCATTATGATTAAGTTGACTTGTATGCTTTAGTATTATCATGGCAATACTATTACGACAAAACCATTTGTATCGTTTTAGTTTGTTAGGCTAGTTTGTGCACAGAAGTTGTGTTATGTCTGTATCAAAAAATAAATACAAATATGTGGAAAATTAATGATCTTGAACTTGAACCTATTTGGCTGTAAAGGTTTACCGAATTTTTGTCTGAATGGTTGTCGTGTGGGTCCCTGTCATGAACATACCGTACTGTAAACACCGGACTTCGGCGTCTTTTTCGTGGGTGCAGGAGATAGGAATCTGGTTGGAGCGGGCAGGACAGTCCATGATTGAGGGCTCGTCGCCCGTACAAGCAACATCAGCGAGCAAAATCGATCCATTTCCTGAGCCAAAGAACTTCCATTCAGTACCATTAGAGTGGAAAAAGGCGGGGTCAGAAATGCCCAACTGCTTGCAGACGACATTAGCGTCCTCTTGCGACCATCCAATGCCACACACTGTTCCCCACTCTCCATCGCGGAAGACCTCGACTACGCCCCACCCTAGATCGTCGTCCTTACCTTCTCCTCCAAGCCGGACGACTACATGGAAGGGATGTAATGATGATAATGTTAATAATAATATTAACAACAATACTACTACTACTACCACTACTACTAATTAATAATAAAGTTATTATTAATATTGATTATTAATAACGAACCCAAACTTTCATTCCCTCATGAAGGTGCCGCACTACCATGTGAGTCCAAAAAAAATTACACTTAGAAAATTGCTAATTATTTTTAAAATCATCTATGAATAGTACATTATTATACATCTGATAAAAGAGTGTTTTATCCCAAATCATTTGGTATCATTTTTGTGTGGTATGTGTTCACGCTTGGATGAACAGGAGGCATTGTTTGCGAGAGTGCAAAAATCGACTTGCGCCAAAGTGATGCCTACAATATGTGTTGTGTAAGGATTAGCGGAGTGAGAGAATGAATTGAATGTATCAAATGAAATGCGTTACATATGCTTTTTGCAAAGGGCAAAGTCACACACACCCACGCATACGCGCACAAATGTTCGCTGATATTTGATGTTCGCCATTTGATATGTGTGGCATGATTAATTTTGTTAGGATGTTATTTGGATCTGTAAAGACCAAATTAATACCCAAATCCCAATTGTTTTATTCAAACATCACATAAGCAACTTTGGCGCAAGTCGATTGATGCACTCTCGCAAACAATGCCTTCTGTTCATCCAAGTGTGAAACATATCACACAAAAATGGTACCAAAAGATTTGGGATAAAACGCTCTTTCATAAGATGTATAATAATTTAATGTTCATAGACGATTTTTAAAATAATTTAGCAATTTTCTAGGTGTAATGTTTTTTTGGACTCACACTGTATAGAACCAACTCCCCATTAGTGTTAGACAGGCCCAGTCTAAACAGTCATTTGCAAATCTGTACTGGGAAAATTATATTTTTAATATAAGAAATATCAGAGACTGTTCTTTCAGTAATATCAAACCAAAAAAGTATTAAAGCTTTCCCGCTTTAGTTTTCTATTACTCGATTTGAAAGGACGTATATTATAGTTGTACAAGCTGGAAAACGACTATTTCCTTCGTGTTGATATCACGGTGTATAAACAAAATAATGATAATAATCCATGTTATATAACTCACTTAAGAAATCCAGCCATCTGATTGGTCGAAATTGCAGTCATTGTTTTAGCCATTCCCGTAAATAAACGAAAAATGCCATACCTATGTAATAGTTCTAGAGCAAATCAGTAATATCCCGGCAAAATCCCAGTTACCGGGAAAATGGTTCGATCTTGCTGAAATACCCATTGGTTCACGTGTTAAAATCTGGTTTGAGCGAGCGCGGATACCATACATTGTGTGTGTGTGCGATTGGTCGCTAGCATATAGCTCCGTTTAGTCTCATTCGAGAACGCCCCCTACGGAAGAGTCCAGCGGCCTAACATGTTCGTTAGCCTAAGGACTTTTACCCCACAAAAATCGTTAAAAAATAATTTGTTGTTTAAACGAAAAGCACATCCACCCCGACGTACGTTCTCAGTAGCTCTTTCATCGGAACCCTCATGTACCATTGACTTTTGAAAGTTCACCCACCGTAATTTCATCAAAATAGGTCGCAAGCTCGCCATTGCCTATATAACACATGTACAACAAGTCGAACTTTGGACTCAATTTACCACGCGATTGTAAAATTATAGGTCAAGCACACGAAGGATAAGAAGCATGAATTATCATAGATTAGTTTTGCTTGGTTCATTATGTCCGCTTCAGCCAACCCCCACCGTAATTTTTCCATTTAGTAAATGCAAACATTTTGCCGAGGTAAACAAAAACATGGACTATTCGATTATTAACAGAGGGGCGCAATTGTGCCCCACATCAAACTCCCCTACTTTCAGTCAAGTATTTCATTGTATTATGTAGTTTGGTAGGCTTATTTTACTAACTGTTTAATTATTACATATCAATGATAGTTTTAAGATATGGAAAAGGTTCTTGTATTTTATATTTAGAAAAGCAATCTGACATACAAAATCACTATCGTCTGATCCGCCGATTGCCTTCTGCTATACGTTCGAACTAGCTACGTTTATGCTGGCGGAAATGAGACAACCGGAGCAATATGATTAATTCTGCTGACAGCAAGAACACCAAAAGGGTATGTGAAATTCTCTAATACCCTACCATATTGTTATTCCCTTGCTGACGAAGTCGGAGGGGATATAGTAACGCTGCCGTCCGTCCTTCCGTGCTTCGTTCCGTGCGTGCGTCCATCCGTGCGTCCGTAACAAATTTGGTTTCCGATCGATAACTTCAGTAATGTTTGACGGATTTTAATAAAATTTGATATGAAGGTACATGATTTCATAATACAGTTTAATTTCGATTTTGGAGTATGTAGGTCAAAGGTCAAAGGTCATAGGTCATTAAATATGCGAAAATACACATCTGGTTTCCGATCGATAACTTCATGCATGGCTCATTGTCAACGAAAAGTTAAGTCTTTTGTCAAATCTGCTTTTTGCTACGGCAGGCAGCCAGTGAAAACGAATTCGTTTGCTAATATTATGAAAATGTAAGGGATACTTTACACAAACAGAACTTTGTCATTCCTTGCTCATTTTTCCTGATTGAGGTGTTATATGAATGGGCAGAAACCCAACTTTCTAGAAATGTGACTTCTTTTTGAAATTCAGATACCGCCCGCCAAATGACTTTTCGGTTTCCTCTCTTCAAATTGATTTTGATCATTCATTGGTGAAATATGAATCATATGAGTTGCATCAAATGACAGAGGATGATCTAAGCTTTCCAAATAAGTGTCATTTATTAATTGTAAATGTGACTAAGTTATGATAAAACATCGACAATTCTCGGTTTCGTGTTTTTTCTGGGACGCACTGTATAAATATATAAATAACACTTCCCCCATTGCTCATTATGTGGGTTAATTGAACGACCCATGCAGGGCGACAATTGTTCCTGGTCCATATCCTGTACTAACCAAATTTCTAACTTCGAATCCGGACAAAACACAAAATTTCACCCTATAAATAACAATGTATTAGGCGCGTTATAAGTGTGATTCATTATTATTATTATTATTATTATTATCATAGTATAAAGTATAAACGTATCCATTAAACCCTTTCTCAGATTTTGTTTTGAGATTAAGGTGATTTTACCGTGATCAACGAGACATATCACTCCAGCATCCTCCTCGTGAGTGCAGTCGTGCCTCCAAACTGAGTTCTTCCGACAATACATGATTGACAATTCGTCACCTACACACGCCACGTTGTCCAGGTGAATCTGTCCTGAGCCTCCGCCGAACGCGGACCCTGTCGTAAAGGCAGAAGCTCCAGGGAAGCCCAACTGCCTGCACACTACATTAGCGTCCTCAAGCCCCCAAGAATCGTCGCATACTGTTCCCCATTCACCGTTGGTATAGACCTCGACTCGACCTTGACTGGGGTAGCTACCTGATCCGGCAAGTCGAACCTCTGAAAGGGTTATTTGCATTGAATATATGAAATTAAATAATTCTGCAATGGTCATGAAAAGACGGTTTATAATTGTGCTTAAAAGCACTGTTTAACAATGCCAATATCTGATATGCACGGCCCTATGCGTTTTCAGCGTCTGTGATGTGGTGTAATATTGAAACCCTAAAAAATTTCGCTTCAAAAAGATCTTGAAGTGCCTCCAAAAATTAAAAATCTTTGAGTGATTTTTTTTGGACGGGATGAGGCCTTGGGGGCCAAGGGGCTCTTACATTGATTGTCTGTACGTCCTTTGCTTGCATTCTTTATAATCGATTTAATTTGGGTTGGGCGAAGTCAAGTGCTTGAAGATTTATATTTAACAGATTCGATTCTGCCGTGATGACGAAACCAAACACGGAAGAAGAAAACGAATCGGAGCAGGAGAAAAAGTAAGATTTTGTTCGGAGATTTAGGTGATTTACCGTGGCATATAACTCCAGCATCCTGCCAATGACCGCAGTTGGTTCTCCCGATTTCGTTCTGCGGACAGTCCATGATTGACGTTTCGTTGCCTACACACGCCACGTTGTCCAGGTGAATCTTTCCTGAGCCTTCGCCGAAAGTCTCAGCCTGTGTCGTAAAGTCAGAAGCTTCAGCGAATCCCAACTCCCTGCACACTACATTAGCGTCCTGAAGCCCCCAAAGATTGTCGCATACTGTTCCCCATTGCCCATTGGCATAGATCTCGACTCGACCTTGACCGCGGATCCAACCTGATCCGGCAAGTCGCAACTCTGAAAGGGATATTAGAAGTGAATAATAAATTAAATAATACTGCAATGGTCATGGAAACGGTTTATAATTGTGCTTAAAGGCATTGTTTAGCAATGTTAGATCTGATCAGCATGGCCCTACGTGTTTTCAGCGTCTGTGATGTGGTGTAATATTGAAGCCCTAAAAGAAATGCGCTTCAAAATGATCTTGAAGTGCCTCAAAAGAGTAAAAAATCTTTGAGTGACGGGTTTTACCATGGCCGTCTTCCCTATTAGCCTGTAGTGCTATTAAAAAAACGTAGGGAAAACAGTTTTTTAAATTTCGAATTCCAATAATAAATATCTTGATAACCAGACTGTCGATCGGCTTGTAAAGGTCATGGGATTCCTGACTGACCTGAAAGGTTTATAATTATGATTGCAGCATGAGCTAAATCCAGGATTTTGTTTAGAATCTTAGACAAAGATACACCATCCCTTCAATAATAACGCGACATAACGACTCGTATCACTGCGACGTACAAATAAAACCACGTAAACCAAGTAATTAGCAACTTCTAGAAGTGGGATCTGGTAATTACGTAATTAGATATACCTTAGCTTCATTTTTATCAATATTTCATCTTCTGCCCAGAGATGACAACAAGACTCATTTTTTGAAGGAGTTAGCAAGCCTCGTCCCATAGTCTATATCTGCTCATGGGCAGATACAGTTAATTGTAACAAAACTGTAAAACCCACAGCAACGATTACTGGATAGGTGTTCGTGAAAGTTGTGTAATCGTTTATGAATGCATCGGTGGTACCAGTGGCGTACCTGGGGTACTCCGTCAGGGGGGGGGGGGGCAAGCGACCGAAACAAACAAAAAAGGCGATGCTAATTTTCACTTCTGGCGAGCGAGCGAGCAAAAAAAAATCTTTAAGTAACGTTTGGTATATAAACTGGTATTGTTGCAAGTTGGGGGTGGGAACATTCACTTGTTAGCGACGTTAATTCCATTTTTTTGCAAAGGAGCGTAGCGAGCAAGAAAAAAATCACTTCTTTTTTAATAATTGCCACTTAAACTTGGTTCAATTGTCCCATGCAGGGCGCGGGAACAATATTGTGTTTAGGGTGATTTTATACCCATTTTAGCTTGCTAGCCAAAATACATCTTTCTCTCAATGAATTGCTATATAAAATTTGTTTCATTGTTGCAGGTCGGGGGCGGGCACAATCGTGTTTAAGGCAATGTCAATCCCATTTTGGCGGGCAGGCAACCCCGTACACTTCTCTTTTTAATGATATTGTAGCAGGTTAGTGGTGGGCACATAATTCCACGAGCTCGCGAGCATAGCGAGCGAGCGAAAAAAAATCACTTCTCTTTTATAGGGAAAATATGGTACATAAAACTTGGGTTCATTGTTCCATGTCAGGGAAGTGATTATTAAAAGCGGTGTTATTTCTATTTTAGCGAGCGAGCAAAAAAATCACTTCTCTTTTATAGGGAAAATATGGTACATAAACTTGGGTTCATTGTTCCATGTCAGGGACGTGATTATTAAAAGCGGTGTTATTTCTATTTTGGCGAGCGAGCGTAGCGAGCGAGCAAAATTTTTGTAATGATAATTGGTTCAGAAATTTCAGATTTTTTTGTTGCAGGGCAGGGCTTACACAATCATGTCTAAGGTGATGTTAATTCCGTTTTGGCGAGCACGAGCACACCAAAACTTCTTTGAATAACGTTTGGTACATAATTATTAACTGGTTGTTGCAGGTTGGGGCGGGCACGTTAGCGGTGTCAATTCCATTTTGGCGAGCGAGCATAGCGAGCAAGCAAAAAAAAAATTCTCTTTTGATAGAAATTAATAAATAAACTTGTTTTTATTGGTGCAGGTCAGGATGGACGCAGTCGCGTTTTACGCGATTCAATTTCTTTTTGGCGAGAGGGCGAAAAAACTCTTCCATTTTTAATGATATTGTTGCAGGTCAAGGGTGGGCACAATTATTTCCAAAGCAATATCCATTCATTTTATTCGCGAGCAAGTGTAGCGAGCGAGAAAAATGAATTACTTTCTTTTAGTAACATTTGGTACATACACTGTGTGTTATTGTTGCCATGGTTGCAGGTCGGGGCCAGTCGGGGCAGGCACAATTGTGTTCTAGGCAATGCTAATTCTTTTCTTTTTTCAGGGGGACGAGCAAGTGAAAACATTTAATACAAAATAGGCTAGCAAGCAGTTCGTGCCAGCGAAGAGTTTCGAATTTGTTATATCACTTATATTTTCCTATTTTCATTTGTCTTAATTTTTCAGGGCCGTATGCGGAATATTTTTCTGGTGGGGGAGGGGGAAAGATACGTTAAAAGTTTTCGAAGAATCTCAAAAGCAAAAGGAGTGAAGGGAGTTCGAGCGACCGAACTGGTCATGAGGGTACTTTTGCATTTTCAAAAGTAGAATTGAAGGATTTGGTATAGGCCTACACTACATTTTCAGGAAAAAAACTGTACGTTTTCAAAATATCTGGGGTCAACTGCCCCCCCCCCCCTGGTGCGTACGGCCATGGTCTTTTTTTTTTAATTTCCCAATTTTTTTCCTTTCCTTTTCTTTTCCCTTTTTCTTCCTTTTCTCTTCTTCTTCCTTTTTTCTTTCCTTTTTCTTTTTTTCCTTTTTTCTCTTTTTTTCCTTTTTTTCTTCCCTTTTCTTTTTTTCTATCCTTTCCTTTCTTTTCTTTTCTTTCCCCTTTTTTTTCCGCCTGGAGCCCGTCAGGGGGGGCACTCTGCCCCCCCCCCCCATAGGTACGCCAGTGGGTGGTACATTCTACAATACGCAGGTGGAATCATTATTTTTCAAGAGGGCAAAGAAAAGGTATTCATGAAGCGCTTCCATCACTTTGGCAGTGATTTTTAAATGCACAAAGTGGGACGTCTCCGTGCGTAAGAGATCTGTGGATATGGTGGGGTCATTTGTACAAGTCCTTTCTCCGGGTGCGTTATTATTTAACTTCGGAAACAAAATGACACGTAAACTTTACTCAAGTGCCAATATCTTTAAAAGAGAGTGCAATCGCCGAAATTTATTGTAATTATATGTTACTTGATAAAGTACAAATTACAAGTTTCTCTTCGAATTCTGCGATTTTGTAAGAGCTACGGTACTCTTGTTTTTAGGGCACCTAAATAAGCGATAATATAAGTAGTCGGATTAGTAGCGTTTCAAAGTTTCAAATTCATTCAAAATGTTCTAGGTTTAACTTAGTGCAAATCCCAAACTACTTATATTTTATTCAATGATTATTCTTAATGATCCTTAATGATTATTTCAATGTAATACACTGTTGGTCATAATAGTGGAATAATTATTTTTACCCCAGTTTAGGGAAGGGTTTTAAAAAATGATTTATTTCTAATAGATCTAGATAATGGCACACATTCTCAGATTTTATTGAATATTAATTTGCGAGTGTTTGTTTTGCGTGACTGCTAAATCATATGTGTGCTACTATACTAATCAGCTAAGGGACCTACGTCCTTAAGTCATAATTGACAGTAATGAGGATTAATGCCTCACAAAAGGTCACTAATATATAGCTGATCGACACGATTTTTATCCTGGGGCCTCACAGTAACGAGGCCATTGCTTAGCCCCTGAATCATGACTGTACGCAGTGATTGCTTGGGTACAAGGCCACCCCACAAATCCACCAAAACGAAGAAAATGCAATAAATTGTCAAAAATTTAATGCATTTTCCCCCGGCCTCACACAGGAAAATTCCCCTGTAGGGCCATGCATTATGTTTCAATAAATAAACAAACAAACTTTTGCTATTGGCCCCACATTGTATAGTTATTGTCTTGATGCTAAAATGAAACGTACCTAAAATGTTGGCAGTAAATGGATGAATGAAAAGTGGATGAAAGAAATGTATACCTTACCATAATAGAAGGCGCTTGCCACACTGAGGCAGAGAAGAAGCGAGAGTATAGTGTAGCCTTCCATCATAGCACGGTTCAACCAGGACCTTCAGGTAGGATGTATCGATGAAAAGTGTTGCTAGTTCTTGAATGAGGTGCGTTTTTATAGTGACATGATAACAAAGGGAACATCTCCTTCAGAGATTTGAAAGGATTCGAAATATCTATCCCCCCTTTCACGTAAACCAGCTGACCATGGTGGCTGTAACAAAACTGTTTCGAAGAATACGTACCTGAGCCCTCTTATTATAAAACTTTTTATCAATAATTACAAGTGTCACATTTCTACAACAAATTTGCTCACAGCCATTCAAATGCAGCGATGATAAACAAGTTAAATAAACTAGACCGAGATGATAAATGGATTGTAGCGACACATTCATTTCTCTAAAGTGGTGACCCCGTGTTCTATTTGGAAGCTTGGTTGTACGATTGTATTATTCCCTGACTTTTTGGACTAGCTAACAATGTTCTATAAAATGTATTCATTCTGGATTGTGTATCGAATGTTTTTATGCTCTTGCATTTATACACGTTTATTCGATGCATACCATACATGCCAATGCCATTACTCACTGTTCTATTTATGGCAACTAAACAGCCGTTCACATACCATGCTTGTTTATTACATTCTTTCAACATGCCATGCTTGTACTTTTCTTAGGCTGCTGTAAATTACTACATACAGGGGCGGATCCAGGAATTTCTTCCTGGGGGGGGGGGGGCACACGGGGGTAAGAGAACATATATATTTTTGTTTTAGTCCCCCCAAAAATCGCAACGACTCAGCTAGTCGCTGAATGAGCGGGGGGGGGGGGGGGGGGGGTAAGAGGACACATTTTTTAGCCGTAGGTCAAGCCATCATGTTTGTCCAACCTGGCAATAACTAATGTATGCAGTTTGGATTATGTCTATTGAGATACTATTATTCTTACCAGGTAAATGAAATAATTTGTATTGAGGCACTTCACAAAGACTTATGCATTAAATTTGGTTACATTACGAAAATGGCCTATTGCGCCATGTCCTTTGATTAATATTCAATACATTACAGAGGAATCATATTTAACATTCCATCTCGTTCAGCAATAGCAGACACGCCCTTTATACCGGACACAAGTAAAACTGTGTGGAATGTTACTTATTATATTCCTTTTACTGCACTAACCCTCTAACATGCAAACAATCCTGAATAAATCTCTAGCCATTTTTACCTTTTTTGCTCCAGTGATCTCGAGCCTCGAGGCAGCAGACAGCAAGAAATGTAGTAAATTAAAATTTAGAAATTAAGAAAAGTCCACAGGAGTGGTTGTTAGAAGCTTAAACTACATAAAACTCATATTTTCTCCTAAGGACGATTTTTTTTTTAGAATAAGCTCTGCTTTTCACCAGAATATTGTTTTTAAAAACAGCTTTTACAAATCTCAGCCATGCTTACTGAGTTGAGACGTTCCATTCAATTTAAAATACTCTTCAAAGAATACACTATCCACCATTATTGGAAACCAATCCGCCTGAGGTCCCCTGGATAGCCATTGTGAGTGATAAAAACTATAATTCATCCCTTGCATTTTTAATCGCACTGCCCCCATTGTGTGCTCCTTTCAAAGAGCACAAAAGCCCTGAGATGTAACACTCCATCTCATTCAGTAATAGCAGACACGCCCTTTATACCCGACACAAGAAATAATGTATGAAATGTTACTTATTATATTCCTTTTACTGTACCATGGACCCTACTACAGATGGACTAATAATGAGAGTCTTTCTTTGATCATATCATGACCACCGCCACCTGATAATGTGTATGTTGATGAGAACATTCATTTGACGCGACAATGCTGATTATGTAATCACGCATCATCACAGACAAAAGAACCTTTTACATTTCCCCAGATTCTTTTCGCTGGGCCAGGGCCCAGAGTGTATTTTTCAGGAAAAGTATCGTGATTTAAGACCAGTTAGAGGAGCAGTGAACCCCAAATTATGACAATTTGTGTGATATTAGATTGATGATTAAAGAAGTGGACACTGGTGGACATACATCTGGACTTTGGTACCAAACTTTGAAAAATACATATTCTTTACTGTCCTATTACCTTCTATTCCTTGGAAATGGATAGGATATGTTTTAAAATGAAGTTTGAAATCATTGTGTTTCAGCCAAATTTACAGGTTTCGCTTGTAAACTACTTCTAATTTCCTATTGAAAACTTCATATACGTCAATATTTATATGTACGCCACAACTGCACATGCATTTCCGTGATTTTAAGCGATTCAGTTTCTTTTGCGCAGGCATTTGGTAGATTCTTCAAGGCACAGTTCTGTTTTTCATGGCTAACTGGCGGCGGTCGTGATGAGATCAAAGCTTGGAAGCATGTTTGGAATGTCATTATGATACTTTTGACAGAGTCAGGTGTATGAATATATTATGGTACCGTTCGTGTCTATTTGTAGTAGGTCCATGACTGTACTAACCCTCTAACATGCAAACAATCCTGAAACAAATTCTCAAGCCACAAAGATATTTATGGATTTCTTTGAAGGCATCACTGTGCAACACTCTCTAACAGAAAATTCTCCCAACCATATTTGAATTTTCCCAACCGTTTTTCCATGAAAATTAGTCATAAGACAGGTTTTTGTTTTTAATCTTTCAACACTTACATGTCTGGAATGGCATATAGAGCCAATTCATGCACTTTGTGACGATTTAAATTCACCTGAATTATAATTAAATTGATATAATATAGTTGATAGAATTAAGGAATCGATAAAAATCAGTTTTTCTTAATTGTTATCATTAATAATGGCCTGTTTTTCTCTTAATTATCTTAATTTCTCTTAATTAATCTTTAATTATATAATAGCATCGAAATCACTACCTTAGCACCATTTTCTCTAAAATGAACAATGTTACCAAGTCCCTTTAAACGGAATGTATCACGATTATGCTATTTACCCCCCCCCCCCTTCCGCTTAATCACCGGCTGGCTGTTTCGCCGCTCAATATTTTCTCACGAATTGGGCCCCCTCTTTGGGCCCCCTCCCCTTCCGCCGCCTGGAACCGCGCCTGACGCCCCCCCCCCCCTCCCGTTACTAGTAACTACCACTACGATTATGTAATATTCTATACGGTAGATCAAGTCAGTCAACTAAAGTATATCGGCCTCCACCCATAACACCTGTATGGGCGTTTATCATATCTATGACTTGCACTGCATACGGCCTATATTAAGGATATATTGACTGCTTTGAGAGGCATAGTGGTTTCTATAGGGTCAAGGGAAACTCACAACCTGCTATGACCCCAAGGCGCTTGCGCCGCGGGGTCATAGCAGGTTGTGAGTTTCCCGAGACCCTATAGAAACAACTATGCCTCGAATATTAAAAGCAGTCAATATATATTTTATATACCGAAAAAAAGGAAAATGTTGACTCACCCATTTAGGTTTCCATCTCATCGCACAAAAGAAACTTATACGGTAACACGTAAACCAAAATGGGGATCGCAGCAAAATGACGTCACGTTTCACAGCCATGGAAAAAGTGCTATGAACAAGGGAAACGCTCTCGGCGGTCTCGCCTGCATAACGCAATTCAATATGATAAACCAGAATGTCAATGTGGAAGGGACATAATTTCATTTCATTTGCATAAAGTACCATAAATAATCAATGGAGCAAAATCTCACAATTCTGTGTAGAAGTTTATTGTTCCAAATTTAGCTCTACCAGATAAGGCAAAATCAGTCAAGAAATGAGGGAAAAGAAGCAATTTTTGTTATTTTTGGAATAAATTTGCATAAATTACCATAATTAATTAATGGAGAACAATTTCAAAATTCTGTGTAGAAGTTTAGTGTACCAAAGTTAGCTCTACGATATAAAGCAAACCAAATCAAAATCGGTCGAGAAATGAAGGAGAAGAAGCCTTTTTTGTGATTTCGAATAAATTTGCATAAATTAGCATAGATAATGAATTTCACGATTCTGTGTAGAAATTTTAAATCCCCTCCTAGCCCTATCATATGAAACAATCAGAATCAAAATCGGTTGAAAAATAACGAAGAAGAAGCATTTTGAAAATCTTAATGTTGATGCCACAACAAAGTCTAAATTTGTTGACCTTAAATGGCCTTTGACCTTAACTTAGTGACCTGAAATTCTACTCACATGATTGGGGAGACTTGATAACCCTATAGCCCAAATTTCATTGACTAAGAACTTATACTTTCAAAATTATATCAAAAATTCAAAAACTTAACCTTAGGTTAAGTTTTCGATGATGATGCTACAACATAGTCCAAGTCTGCTGACCTGAAATGACCTTTAACCTTCACTTTGTGATCTGAAATTCTACTCACATGATTGGGGATACTTGATTACCCTATAGTCAAAGTTTCATTGACTAAGAAATTATACTTTAAAAATTATACCAAAAATTCAAAAACTTAACCTTAGGTTAAGTTTTTGATGTTGACGCCGTCGCGTCGCCGTCGCCGCCGCCGTCACCGGAAAAGCGGCGCCTATGTCTCGCTTTTTGCTACGCAGGCGAGACAAAAATGGATATAAACCGGTAGAGCCGGGAAAAATGACTATGAATTTCAATTAGCGGGCATGGTTGGGGATCGCAGCAAAATGACGTCACGTTTCACAGCCATGGAAAAAGTGCTATGAAAAATGGATATAAACCGGTAGAGCCGGGAAAAATGACTATGAATTTCAATTAGCGGGCATGGTTAAGAACATGACTGCATTTTCAACCAATCAGAAGACAGGATTAGTAAAGAATCTTAAAATGAGGTATATAAACTTTACTAGTCCTTTGAAATGCGTTCCAAAGTGCGGTTTCCGTTTCCAAGTCGCCAGCAAGTATGATTTTGACAATGTAACCATTAACGATATAGCGTCATTCTTTTTTTCTTTCTTACTCTCCCTCTCTCTTTCTCTTCTTTTCATTCTTTGTACCCATTCTTTGTCCATAAAAGGTGTGTGTGTGTGTGTGTTGGGGGGGGGGGGGGTTCCCCGAAACCGGCCGTTCTGCGGACCCTGCTGTAGCGTGGTAATTCCGCTTTTAATAATCGATACCAGCAAAGGTTGTTATTCTTTTTAGACTGTTTATGTCATTTTGAAAGGGCTATACACAGTAAAAACGCTGTTTAAAAAAGTGATGTTCACTTACAGTTGTACACTATCTTAAACAACAGTTGATCAAATTGTA